TAATTAAGCACTAATTATTGTCTCAAAATTTTTTACAGGTTTTTGCAGACAAACTATAGCAGCAGATCTATACATAATTTTTTAAGTTTCATTTATTTTTCACTTTTTTCAATAATTTTTTTATTTACTTTTAATTATTTATTTTGATTTTGTTTATATTATATAAATATCAGAGGTTTTTTTAATTATAATAGTACAATTGAAAGTATTTTTGGTTACGGCTAAAGGAGCAAAACTATTTCAATTTTCTAAAACGTGTTCTTCGTGATTCAGTGCTAGTGATTCAATCAAAGTGATTTATGGCATATAAGGCTTAGTTAAAATTGAATTAGATATTGCTTTCTCAACCAGACATAAAAATGTAATTTACTGTAAAGCTAAATAAATACAGTTTTAGTTCAGAAGGCATATTTCATGCTTAGTTTCGAGACACTATCATAATTGCCTAAAATTCTTATATTAAAGCTGATGATACAATTTTTTATATCATTATGTAATTGTATCTGTGAGCTGATTTATTATCCATGCGAATAAAATATTTCATATTATATTATTATTTATTCTGACTTGGTGTAGCACAACATCAAAGAAACGTAATTTTTGTTTTCAACTTTTCATGTGAGCAAATATATTTGAGTAAAATGGAAGTATGCTCAATCTATAGTTAGTTTGAGAAATTTGTGAATATATATTGTACTACATGGCCACGGCAAAAGTTTATGTCATAATAGTAGCTATATACAATTATATACAATAATACAATTACAATTTACATGTTCATATCATAATAGTGTTATTATAACAGTTAAAGTTATAGATTTTTCATTTTTTTTAATTGAAAACATATTTTTTGTTTAGATACTTTTAAAAAAATTTGAATTTTTGTACATCTTTATGAATTAAAGAATTGGATTTTTTGTGAATCTCAGTTTTTCGTGTACTACATTTTATGCTTAAATCAATCATTCTAGGTTCTTGTTTGTTAAGAAAATGAATTTAAAACTAAATTTTATACTTGAAAAATATCAATATTTTTTCCATTTTTGGAATTTTCATTCAGAAATTATGGTAAAATGACCAGCAGCAGTCAGTCTATTAAATTAACTGTAATGCTTATGGTTTGGAAAATTATTTTTTTACCTCTACGAAGCTATTAACAACTGGAACAGTTAAAAATAAAAACTATACTGTTTTGAACCATTTCCATCTAACATAGCTTACAAACCATAAAAATGAATTTTAAACGGAATTCTGACGGTGCTGTGTCATTTATGGGTGAAGGATAGTTTCGTATTATAATAGTCCAAAGCACCGATAGAAGTGCTGCAGGACGATTGAAATCTATCATATATTGAAGGAATGAGGGAAATATTGTAGTATTAACTCCAGGATTCGAACCCTTGTTCAGCTGTGCATGATATTGACCGATTTGAACTCCCAGCTATAGTACGGCTACAAAATGGCTTTGTAAGGTGGGCTTCGTTGGCGCGGATAGAATTCTGGTTGTTTTACCGTATCTGGAAAAAAAAATATCCTTTTTTTCCGCACACTTATCAATTTAAAAATCTTTTTTTTTTTAATGTTGTTTACTGTTTTGTTTGAATATATAAAATTACAATTAAATAAATTGCTATTTAACTATTTTAACCAAGAAATTTCTAACAGCGTAAAAACTTTAATTTAATTGTTTTTATATTTCATCGAAGAAGCAGATCTATACATATATTAAATACATCTATAAAAGTTTTGCACTTTTTTCTTCAGAAAAATGCATCTAAAAGAAGGTTTTATATTATCTGCTTAATCCTTAAGAGTGTGGACTCAAGAAACTGTGCTAAAATTTTTAAGCGCATCTTTTCTTTCAAACGAGATTTTATTATAAACAGTTAATTCTTATAGTCAAATATAGACTCAGGATACAAATATGCATTTATCTGACAATGTGCATTCTAGAGCAGGATTTTATTTATTTTTGAATATTCTAATGTAAATTTTAAAGATCATATACAAATTATATTTTAAGTAAGAATTTAAGAATAAATTTAGAAAACATCTCGAATAACAATAATAAAATATTATGTTTCAGAATCTGATTATTTTAATACCGGCGAATTAAAAGCAGTATATAGCACGTGACGCTAAGAATTGGTATTTTAATTGCTTGAACATAACAATAATAATTCCAGGTAAAATTTTAAAGGAATACAATTTTTTTTGCATGCAATCAAATGTAAATCATAAAGTGTTACGTCTACAGCACCAAACTTTTAAAATTTAAAGATTGCAATTTTTCATGTTTCTTTTTTAGTATAAAGCATTGGCTTTTTTTGTGTAGATCATTTTTTTGAGTTCGACATTCCATGTTTAAATCAATCAGATTCAGATCTAGATTTAAGTTTGTTAAGAAAATGAATCTGAAATTAAATTTTTCGTGAGTATTTTTCAGATTCTAGAGATTACTGCTATATGGATCTCATCAATATTGGAATTAATACAAGAGAACCTCGAGTATATAGCAGTTTCCTTACTATCCTAGTTTTTATGCATGTGATTCTGAATCAGACAAATGTAAATGCGAGATAGGTTTGTAAATTTGAAAACAATGTTTGTTAAAAAAAAGTAACACATATTTATGAATATAAACTACCAAATAAAATATTTTATACAAGTCCGTAAGGGATCGTCACGAATCCTGAGTCAACATACGGGGCCATTTGCAGACAACAAGTGTCGGCACGAACAGCTCGACGATGTTTACAGAAGCATGGGCTGTCAGCACGACGACCATGGCTTCGGCTATCCTTGATGCTGCATCACAGGCAGGAGGAGTGGGACCAGCGAATAACCTGGGCGCAAGAAGGACATGAAGTCGTCTTTTCAGATGAATCTAGGTTCTGTGTACAGCATCATGATGGCCGCACCCGTGTTTGCACCCATCGTGGAGAACACCCATTGGCAGCTGGCATTCGACATCGTCATATCGGCCCATCACCTGGAGTAATGGTATGGGGTGCCATTGAATTCACGTTTCGATCACCTCTAGTTCAGATTGCCGGCACTTTGAACAGTAACTATTACATGTTCTGATTTGGTAGGGCATGTTCTCTGCCTTATCTTTGAGGCTAGCATAACGCTACGTTTCAGCAGGACAATACACGACCGCAAGCTACCCGCACTTTCCTGACCTTCCTTGACACAGAACATGTTCGCCTGTTGCCCTGGCCAGCACGTCCTCCTGATCTCTCACCAATTGAAGACGTCTGGTCAATGGTTGCCGAACTACTGAGACGCCACCACTCGTCAGTTACTACGTTCGATGAATTGTGGCATAATGTTGAAGCTGCATGAAATGCTGTACCCGTCCGATTTCTGTTCGACTAGATGCCCAGGAGAATAACTGCTGTTATTGCTGCTCTATATACTGATTCCTCAGCATCTATACATCCAAATATCCTGAAAATTTTATTACTTGTTCTTCCAACTGCCCAATAAATATCATTTTGCTTTGTTTGTATCAATATATGTGCCCAATAAATATCCTTACGGTATTTGCATTCCTTCCTAATGTAGCAATTTTTATGGTCAGTAGTGTACTTTGTTTAGAGTTTTATAATTTTAGTTCAATTTCGATATTTCAGAATACCACTTCCAAAATCAGCATTAAAAATGCTTGATAATAATAATTTAAATGAGGTCATAATTTAAATGAAAAATTTAAATTATACTATTTTTCGTATCTTAGCTGATTATTATTTTTTTGTTGAAATATATAGAATATGGATAAAATATATTTGAAAAATTTATATTTTAAATCGAGGCCGATATATTCACGTAGTTAAAACGGTATGGAACTTTTTCTTAATGAACGTATATTGCGTTTCATCAATCTTATTGTTGTCATATTTACATTTAATTAATCTATAATTATGCAAATATCATTAATTACATAAATATAATAAACTTTATGTTAATTGCAATAAATATTTGAATTGATGACGATAATTATACCGATTGGGAAGTAATCGTGAAACACCAACCGAACGTTAACGTTGTTTGATGTATTCTTATTCATTAGTAAATTATTAGCTTTTTCGGATTTTTAAATATAATTTTATAATGTACAAAAATTATTTTCAAAGATTAGTTTAGGTTTTAATGTATACATAACATAATAATTTTTTTTTTACTTTGGAAAAAAATACATCAAATAGATATATAATGTTTACGATCTCATTTGGAAACGCAAATGATAGATTTTAGGGCTATAATTGTGATTAAAAGCATTTAAACATTGTTGAGAGTAAAAAAAATCATCTCTAAAGCACTGAAAAAATATCTGGCTTAAAACAGCAAGAATATGGGGAAATTTGCAATGTTTCTGGATCGATGGGAACACCAAGAGTTCGGTAATTTTTACAGAAGTGCTTTAGTAAAGATTTTGGTAAAATTAAGCATAAAATCTGATTCTACAATGTTAATCTGTTGTTAATCAAATGTGAAAAGATTTGTTTTATGTGGCTGGTAATTTTACCACGATACCTTAGAGCAATACATAAAACCATTTAACCGCTTAAATTTGCTTTCCAGTTTTGCATTTTTTAATAAATGTATGGTATTAACAATCATAATTTTGAAGACCAGAATTTCTGGTAAACCGTTTTCCATATAAATGAAAAAATTACCAAATGAATGTTGTAAATACCGTATATTTTTGTTTCATTAACTAGAGTTATGTTTTTTTTTGCCACAAATGTTATTACCATACCACATGGCAATGTAATAGAATTTGTTTCTCCGTGCACATTTAGGAAATTTATTTTACCAGAAGAACAAATTAAATGTAGTTTCGAAACTGTGAGGTTGTCTTTGTCAATTCCCTTTAAATTCAACTATTTCAATATAACACATTGTTATCACACATCATAAATTCCAGAATTCTCTTTGGATATTGCGTGATATTTAGAATTTATGAGTCTAAATTTCGAAAACGTGACACCTGCATTTTTATTTGTTTCATTACATGATTTGTAAGGTTCATAAACGTTCCATATAGTGGAGAGAATATAAATAGATAAGCTTTAATTAAGAGTTAATGATTAGAAGTAGGTAAGCTATTTTAATGTGTTATATTTTAATGAAAAATACTATTGTTCCAATTAGCCTGAATTTTGGCTTTCAATTTTCAAATATTTTTTAAATTTTTTGAGGAAGAGGGAAACATTTGGAATATGTGTGCAACTTCTAACCACTTTAAAGTAAACATTTCGTACTAAAACTATAAGGAGAAGAGCATTTTAATAATCTATCAAATGCACTGTTTAATTTAAATAATAAAAGATATAATGTATATAAACAATTCATTAGGTAATTTTAACGTTAATAATTAACGGTAATTTTAATTGTTTGACGGAAATTCTGTTTTTTAAAGTTATATTTCTTATTAACATGCGAAAATGAGAAACGAAAACTGAGAAGTAAATTTAACCGATAAATGGTTTTCATGCCGTGCTCTAAGCTTTCATGATAAAATAACCACATTTTATTACATTTATCAGCTTTTTATCACATATTATAAAACCATATATTATTAGTTGTCATCATCATAAATCATTAACAAGCGTTTCGGTAAAAATTACCGAGCTTTATGGTGTTCCCCCTTGGATCCAGAAACACGATACATTTTACCATTTTCTGGTGTTTTGTCCATACTTTTATTTCTCAGTGCACCATAAATCTTTTAATAACCTAACTACTTTTTCTTTGCTTTATTTAAAATTTGAAAAGTGGGAAAATATTATTAATGGACTGATAATGGGAATTTTATGCACGTAGTACATTTATGTTGTAACATGAGTACTGAGTCAATAAATTGATTTCGATAAAAAAAAAATGGATGATTAGTTACTGGGACATCTAAAATTAGTTTTGTTACTAGTTTAAACGTCTTAAGTAAGTTTAATGTTGGTTTCAATCGAGAATACTACTGAACACAATAATTATTTCATTACGAAAAGAATTGTGTTACTTTCTTGCTTATTCGATATATAATTCACTTTTAAGAATAACGTATATATGTATTCGGAATCCTTTTTTGAAAGGTATGTGTAATACGGCAACATTTTGTTTTACTTTCATTATATTTTCACCTGTGGTACATATTTTAAACATTTAAAAGTTTTGATGCCACGTTAGGCTAAGCTAAGAATATTGCGCAGAGTGATGTTTGTAGGGAAAGATTGTGTGTGGTGATTGTCTAATGATGTTCTATCTTATTGTAAGATTTTATTATGCGTACGTTCTTTGCAATTGCATGTAAAACTATGGTACTGAAGTGTATACTTGCTAATTGATTATAACTAGTGCCAAGTATGAAACATATTTATTTTATTTGGTTTCCTTAGAAAGTGCTTAAATTTTTATAGCTCTTTCACTAAATGTTTTTAGGAAGACAGTAATGTAAAATGTTTTAAAATTATACATATTTCCTAATCTACTGAACTTGCATTTTAATCTTTGCTAAATACACTGTTGGCCAAAAGTTTCTTTTCCGGAAGCGGTCATGTTTAATTAAGTCGTACTGTAGGAGAATATAATAATGTAGGAGAATTCCTACATTCCTACATATGTAGGAGAATTCCTACATATGTTAATATAATGTAGGAGAATTCCTACATTATATCGCCTATAGAATACTATGTTTAATGCCATGTTTTCTCTAAGCCCATGCAACCATCCCATTAAACCATGTTTACTACTGAGGAAGACATTTGGTGAACTCAGTTAGTCAGAAAGATCTATATAGAAGTAGTTATCTTTAATTGACCACTTCCAGAAAGACAGCTATATAATCTTTCTTACGATGCAGAGCAAGGAGTCCCAAAATAGTAAGTGCGTCAAAAACATCGATATAGTTAGCCAAAGGGTGAGTTTTGCGAAGTTCCCTCTTGCTGTAGGGGTTACATCCATTTAGGAATCAGTTGAAGCTTTGCCTAGCGGTTGGAAGGTGACTAGGTTTAAAAATGACGCCCTAGTGAGCAATCTTAGCCCCCCCCCCACTTGTAATCTCGAATGTTCTTTAATTGTATTCAAGATATTTTAAATCATTAAAATTTGAATAAACCTTTATTTGTGTAATATAATTTTAACTCCAATTAACATGATACATCTAAAAGTAATATCAATAGGTTGTATCACTTATAAAACTACAAATGGTAACATTGCTGTATAATCTATCCATCAAAACTTACCCGTTGACTACTTTGTAATGGAACATTGTTCATATGTTTGGGAAGTTAACTCAGTATTCCAAGTAGATATTATGGATGATGTATGGAAACTATGCAAAAAGTTTTAATTTAGTTCAAGAACTGTAATTTTTTCCGATTTTTAAAATTTTTCTACAAACAAATCTTATTCAGAATACTTATTCAGAATATTTTAACATTCACTTAAAATAAACGTATTGTAATATCTATTATGCAATTATTATTCTTAACAACTTATTTTTAGTTATTATCAGTAATAGTCTCTTCTATTCATATGCACAATCATTCCAGTCTTGTAAGAGCGTAGTGCAGAAAAACTTTCTCGGTTATTTTTCAATGAATCATTACAAAATGGCAATAAAAATGCAGTAAAAACAGATGTTTTAAATATTTTTTCTGTTTAGTTAAAAATTTAGTTAAAAATTAGTATTCAGAAGAATTGTTTTATGCTTTGTGGAATTTTGCATAAACTGCATTATTAACACATATTATAATATAAAATATACTTTTGTTAAATTCGCAATGCAAAGTATTTTGCTAATAATTTTTTTAATTTATTTCAGAACGAAATGGTGAAATTCAAAACAAATATGCTGAAAGTATTTTTCCTGATTCTTGCAATTACTCAAATAAGTTTAGCTTCTATTTGCCTTCCTGATTGCACGGATGCTCAATGTACACAAGACATTTGTCCTGAAGGCACAAGACCGGTATTTGTAGGGTGTGATTGTTGCAAGACGTGTGAAAAAGTCTTAAGTAATTCATATATTTATTAATAATTCGTCCCCTTTAAAAAATTGAATTTATTTGTTTCAAGTAAATGAATATTATCTTAACATATCATAAAAAATCTTCTACTAAAGCATATGTATCACAAAAATATTAGTCATGCTCTAATATTAATTCTTAGCAACTACTGTTTTAAAAAGTTTCTCAAATAAACTCCAAAATTTAAATCTTTTTTTTGTAACTTTAATCACGATTTCTATATTTATAATATTCCCACGGTGAAAAAAATGTGATAAAATTAATATACTAATTGATAATAACATGTCTAGTAAAAAAAAATCCATAATAATGGTTAATAAAACCAAAAGATCTGGTAATTTTCAGTTTTTTTGGAAACAGTATACCGTAAATCGGGTTTTCAAAATTATAGTTCTTATTACCATATTTCGTAAAAAATACTAGTTTTTAAAGAAAATTTAACCGAATTAAAAATTCAGAACTAAAAACGAAATTTAGTTAAAGATATGATTTTTCAACCACGCTTTTAAAAAGCATGATAAAATTGCTAAGTTTTAACACATTTATCAAATTTTTTCACAGATTATGAAATCTTATTTTATTGCTAATTTTAACAAAATCATTAAAAAATAGTTAAAAATTGCCGAGCTCTTTGGTATTCCCCACGTTATAAATTTTACTATTATGGTAGTTCTCACATTATTTTTTTTCGCGTTGAAGGTGTTAAAACTTAAAATATTTCCAAATTCATTGTTTTAAGAGCCTGTAGTTTTTGTTTTAGTTTGGGTCACAAATTGAAACTTAAATATAATCTCCAATTTAATGATTTCTATTGACGCAGAAAAAGTAATTGGATTTTCAACTGTTCAAGAGTAAATTAGTTTGCAATCTAAATATATACCATATATAAAGGCGTATTCGGAATAAAAATAGTTACAGAATTTCAATCTGTAACAAGCTATTCTCATCAGATTTCTCATAATTTTCTAAGTGAAACCATCAAAATATATAACTTAAGCAAATTTTTCAAGACATAATGAAGTGGGAAAAGATATCACGGCATTATTCCAATTGAAGCAAAGTAGGATTACCTTTGAGATTCCGGCTTTACAATTGAAATTACCCAACGCCCTGCATTATTCTCTATCTATTACCGAAGAAATAATACTTGATATTGTATAAATTCTCAGGTATTCAAGCAAAAAATGATCTCAAGAATCTAATTGAACAATAAGTGACTAACAGATATCTAATTGTTAAAACATTAATGATTTTTAAATTTATTTTTCTTAATTGTTGTTGGTGTTGTAGGTCACTTGGCAAGGGGTGAGATTGTTTTCGTTTTCCAGTGGCGTCCTCTATGACCTAGAATTCGACTTCTGATAGGCCCATACGTCAAACCAGTTTATAGAACGTATCCATTCATTCATTCATCCACAGATCTTAATTTTGACATGAATCAGAGAACTATCAATTCTCCAATTAGGTATCCCCAGCAGCATAGTTTGTAATGGAAAAATGGAGGACTTCTTGACCCATCAGATGTAACTTCGGTCGGTTGGATTCAAACTCCCGTTCTCATGAACGTGAGTCCAGTGCCCTGCCAACCAGGGTATTCCAGCCCCATTCTTAATTAATATCTGGTTATAAAAGAAAAGATTATTTAAAAAAAATATTGAATGTTTCTGTGCTCCTTTCAGCAGATTTGTAAAATGTATGAAAATATATTTTGCAAATTGATGAACATGTCGTAGTAAGTATTAACGATCAGATTAGTGACTTTATGATATTAGATTAATAAACAACTAAATCTGAACAAGTATTGCAGTCCATGTATGTTTTTAGTATCAAAAAGTGGGCAGTACTCTCTTTAAATGAAAGAGTTATTTCCCCTACTTAAAGAGTTAAATTTTTTTAACTCAACTTGAGTGAAACACATTCTTATTTGAGCGAAATTCTTACCTTGCGTTTACTCAAACTTGAGTGGTATTTATTAAGCAATATTTGAGTGCTTTTAGCTCAAACTTGAGTGATTTATTTATTATTTAATTGCGTGCTAAATATAAACTGGAATTTCTATCGCTTTATTTTAAAAAGCAAACAATAATAAATCTAAATAAAATTGTTATGTTCTGTAATTGTTATGTTATGTCTTCGTTTTTATTTTACGTTTAATTTTTTTTCTGGAGAATATGTCATTTAATATTTTGAATTAAGAAGAAGTAAAACAACTTTTAGTTCACAGCGGTATTTCTGAAGAAAACGCTATTTTACTTTTTAGTACCGTCATGTGGGGCTACTTTGTGCAGGATTTCGCAGTTTTTGAACTTTGACATGTAAAAAAACTATGCTAATTCAAACTTTAGTAAAATTTATCGATATTATATTTATAACTGGACTCAGATGAGTGAATTTGATCAATATTGGCATTATTTGTATGTAATATTTACAAATAATAAGTCGAAACGTACCTTGCACAAAGAAGCCCCCAAATGGGGCTACTTTGTGCAGCGATAGGAATTCAGTTTAATAATCATGTTTTTAGCAAAATATTGATATAAAATTGTTAAAAAAGTTAATTGTTGACATTTTTAATGACGAAAACTTCAAGATATGTAAAGATATTAGTTTGAAAAAAATTTTCAGCGTTAAAAAACATTTTTTTTATAAAGAATTTTTTCTTAAAACGAAAGTTTATTTCAAAACATTTGAGTTTAAACAAAAGGAAACCATATACATTTTTTGAGCATTGAAATAGATGAAATTTCAAAAATAATAATTATTACACATTCATTAACATTTATAATATTGATAAATTTGAACATAACATGCTTGAATGAACATGACAGAATTTGCTCTTCAGTTTCTGTCAAAATCACCTGATGTCCTATAAAATATATTTTTATGTGTTAAATCGTTTGATTAATTCATTAGAAAAANACGTTTCACGTGTTTCTTGTGAATTTTATTAGAGATAGTATTTCTGTGGATTTTGCACTTCCGAGAAGCTTCTGCAATCGACATACCACCAGCAACTGCTTGCAAACATTGTTGCAGCTTTTCTAAAGTGTAATAACGGTAGTTTCTCATTCCATGTATTTTTTTATAACGTCTAACCATTTTTCTATCGAAAAAGAAAAACTAATGAAACTTTGCACAAAGTAGCCAAACGGCACATTTTCTTTCATTTTCCGTTTATTTGTAATTAATTTTCAAACTTTTTTAACGCTAACATGATATAATTGTTTATTAATATTTTATTTATATAAAATAAAATAATTGTTTATAAATTTTTTATTTATATAAAATAAAAAATTTTGCACTTACGACAATCGTTTTATCAACGTCTTTGCATTTCACAGCTAAAGTTTCGACGCACACTTTTGGACGTCCGACGTTCTCGGAAAGTTGTTAACATTGGATAAACAAAACACACTCTGAGATTGTTTTAAAATTCGAAAAATTGTTTGTAGTAATAGAGGAGACTTCTGTCTTATCTAAAAAAACATAATACTGATTAGCAGCACTTGAAAAGTGCCAAATTCGAATTTGCATAAAGTAGTCCCCGCTGCACAAATTAGCCCCACTTGACGGTAAGTAGATATACCTTGTTGCTTTTATTTAGAAAATACTTTTATTTTGAATCTGGTATATACACATTTTATTTAAATTAGCTGTTTTTCAGCGTTTTTTAATACTATCCATACTAAAATACTATTAATTTAAATTATTTGTTAAAAAAATTTATTAAAATTGAAAGTATTAAATGTGGATGATTATGGAATATTAAAAAAATCTGATTCCATGCTAGAATCTTTGTCAAAGCATGTGGGAATATATTATATTTGATAAGAGTTCTAGAATTTTTTCAGATTTCATATTAAAGTTTTAAAATTTTATTTTAATATTATAAATTTATATCCATGTTTTAGTTTTTTTGATGTATAATTTTGGTAGAAAACATTTCTGGATAATTAATTTCATATCATTCTATACTTTTATAAAAGATATTTACGAAATTATTGTTCATACAGACTATAATTGCTGTTATTTAAATTGCTTTCTATTAATAAAGTTGACTGTTTTTAATTTTTGAAAGTTCACATTTGCAACATCCTTTCATTCAAATCAGAATCTTCAGATGTTCAATGCATTTTATTATAAATATATCATTCAAAGAAAAAGTGGAAAATATTATATTTTAAAAAATTGAGCAGTACTTTGAATTTTTCTGTTTTTATCCTGTTTTTAGCTTTTATATAATACTATCTTCGTATTTTATAAAGTATTTATCACTTTATACAAACTTTATACAATTCTTACCACTTTTCTTCAAGTTCAATTTTCGAGGCAAAATTGTAAATGCTGAATTAATATTTAATTAAGAATACAATGCTTATTAAAGTTCTTGAAAATGCAAATAAATGAAAATTTTACTACAGTTATAGATTAGTAGTAAAAAAATATGAGCAGAATTAAAAAAATATATTTATTATGAGATATAGTTTAATTTGAATTTATATACCTATACCCAGCTGAAAATAAATTGTAGTTTTTCCACAGAACTGAAGTAATTTCGCAGTTTTTCTTGAGTTAACTGCAAGTTTTTTGTAATGCAATCTTAACTGTAAAAACACTGCAGTTATTTTGCAGCTAATGCGAAGTAATTTCTCAGTAATTTATTTCGAAGAAACTTTTAGCTATTGTCTACAAAATTACTGTAGTTTAAGTGAGGTCACTTTAAAATCATAAATTTAGAAAAAACTGAAACTTTTTAATCCGTGGTCATTCTGCAGTAAATTTGAAGAAATTATGCAGTCATTGTTTCAGAAGTATACTTTCTGATGAATTTGCAGAAAAACTGCAGTTACTTTGCATTGTTGTAAAATTAAAAGAGTTTTATGTCTTCAATCTTGCTCTCCTGGCTGGTATATTAAATTTTTATAATGTTTTTTCTTTTTTTTCTTTTTGATTAATTTCTTACAATTTGGTAAAAATTCAAAACATATATATTGATAACGGAAATAACATACACTATCTATATTCATAATAAATAAAATTCATAAAATACATACTTAATTTAATTGTAATTATTTATAATTCAGAAGCGATACAATTTAATTAGTTTAAAATATGCCTAAAATTAGGTATTTAAATATTTCTGTATTTTAGTAATTTTATTAAAAATGTCGTTTTTATTAATTTTTATTATTTATTTCTTTTTGACTTAAGAAAACTATGTTTGAGCAAAGTTTATGGTAAAAACAATATTAAAGTAAAGTCAAGTAGTTAATGTTAATTAGTTAATTTTTTTATTCGAATTCATACTAAGCTAGGATTATTGCAGAACAAAAATTATACTTATTTTTTTCCATTCAAAACAAATATATAGTTTAGATTTTAAACAAATTTATATCAAAAGAGTTTGCAAAATTGAGTTTGAAAAAGGGTATTTAATCCAGATTTTTTAGCTTCAAACGTCTTTTTCAAAAATTTATTAATTTCACTTAGTTTCAGAAATTTGTCTTAAAAAAATTTAGGCAATTGAAAAAAATATACCTTTTTCATTGCTTAAAAATAAAACTTTATAAATTAAACGAATAAACTTGTTCGAAAAAAAATAACTCATAGTATTTTCAATTGAACCTAAATGATCATAATATTTATAAAACTGCTTTCTTTAAAAATTCGTTCAGAGCTCCTTACTTTTAAAAATTAAACTTAAAAGAAAAGGGACAAAACATAGGAGAAGGAAAAAAAAACTCAAATCTACAGTGGTTAGGAATTTTTCCTGAAAAAAAACTCTTAAGTAATAATTCATTTAATTGTTGTTTTACCGAATACAATCAAAACAATTGGATAACCATAAAATGCTGCTATTCAAACTGTTAACTCTGAAAAAAATTTTTAACTGTGTTTTCACCTTATTTGATTTAACAAATAAAAGCTTTATCTTCGCCAACAACACCCAGCTCATGGAAGTAATTAGTTCTTTGTAGCCGTCTTGACACAGGACTGTAGCTGAGAGGGTTAATCGGTGAATCTCACAACAGACGGGAAGCGAGTTCGAATCACAGTGTCGATATGCTCACAGCGAAAACTTTCACAAGTACTATACTATCTAATTCGATATTTGAATTCAACAAAAGTTATGATTGAAAAAATTCCTGTCTAAGGCTTTCCACTCAAAAGGATATTTTTTAATCCAAAACTATAGTATTTTCTATCGCTTACGATAGATGGCACCACTAAATACAAACATTTTGTATATTAATAATAAAAATTTTGACTGCAATTTATAAACTGAAATAATGAAAATCACTCAAACACGAGTTAAAATCACTCAAGTTTGAGTGAAAACGATCTACTCAGGTAATATCGAAAATCACTCAAGCTCGAGTGAATATAACTCAAGTTTGAGTGAAATTTTTTCACTCAAAGTGAGCTATTTCTATATAACTCCTTCACTTGAGTGATTTTAACTCAAAATGAGAAGGCCGGGTTTATCTACATGAAAGAGTTAAATAGCACTCAAGTTGAGTTATATTCACTCGTTCATTTTAAGAGAGTAAGTTTCAGTTATAGCAAAAAGAGAAAATGTGTCAAAATGAGTTGGAATCCATTTTTATTCATTTCAGCAATAATATAACTTTAAACTAAACTTTAATAAGCTTCATTATTGTACAATAAAAAATATTGAACAATAATTGTTAAATAAAAATTATTTAAACACATTAGAGCATTTTTCTCTTGAATTTGAAAATCTATTTACTGGAAAATAAACCAAATTTTAAATATTTTTTTCTAGAAAAAGGAGAAACCTGTACGATTCGAGCTGAACCTTTGATTCAACCTGAAATAGACACCGGAGATCGAGTTTCAATCAGTTATCCCCGTTGTGGCTTTAGTCTTCGCTGCGATTCTCAAACACGCACATGCGTTTAAGACTTTTACTGTGTAAAAAATGTTATTTATTTGCGGTTAAGAAATAAAATAGCATGAGCTTAAAAAATAAAGTGTACGAATCGTTGAACTATTCTTGTTTTTAAAATTTTTCAACTATTAATAGCTATGTTTTGATAAAACTCCCAAAAAACTTAAAACAAGACAAACTGTTTAAATAATATTTGTTTAAATTGAAGTATATAAGATTAGACACAGCTTATGTATCTGATAAAATATAATAAAATTGGCTATTATAAAATTTAAAAAAAAGCTATCATTTAATTTATATGTTATCTTTAAAAAGTAATTGTTTTAATTCATCTTAAGTAGATAAGCCCTCCTGTTCGTATGTTGATGTTAAAGAAAATAAATTAAAGCAATATGCTATATGAAACAATACATGGTTACGATCAACATTTTAAATAAAACTTATCTCTGAATCTGCAATTGATGCATAGATAAATCTAGGTAAGATATGATATTATTACAAATTATACTTACATTTTGTACAATTTAGTATCAATTATGTGCAATAGATTTGATGGGAAAAGTACAAAAGTAATTTAACAATCACAAGTTATTACTAATACGCACTTAAAATATTATACGGTATTTAAAAAAAGCAATAAGCCGAATTTACTATTATTACATTAATCAAACAACATTTTCGAAATACCATGAAAATATTAAATATAGTTCTTATTACCACACATTGAGCAAAAAATATAAAACTGAAAGCAAATTTACTCTCTTAAAATGAACGAGT